TATCCCAAGTTAACACAGTCCCTTTTCTTTTTTCCCAAAGGAAATTGTTGTTGATGTTATGAGGAGTTAAATTATACTAACACATGCCAGGGAGATGATGTCAGGGAAGGCGTGGTTAGGCCCTTTACAAGTATGAAATTCCTTCAGTCCCAAACATTTCCTCTTTCGATCTCACCTATACTCAAATCTCCCTACTGAGGCAACTCCTTCAAACACTGAAGAAACAGTGCTGAGACCCTAGAACTGGTCTTTTTACTTCAGCTTTTTAAAAAAATGAGCCAAGGCCGGGCGCGGTGGCTCACGCCTGTAATCCTAGCTCTCTGGGAGGCCAAGGCGGGCAGATTGTTTGAGCTCAGGAGTTCAAAACCAGCCTGAGCAAGAGCGAGACCCCGTCTCTACTAAAATTAGAAGGAAATTAATCGGACAACTAAACATATATAGAAAAAATTAGCCGGGCATGGTGGCGCATGCCTGTAGTCCCAGCTACTCGGGAGGCTGAGGCGGGAGGATCATTTGAGCCCAGGAGTTTGAGGTTGCTTTGAGCTAGGATGACGCCACGGCACTCTAGCTCGGGCAACACAGTGAGACTCTGTCTCAAAAAAAAAAAAAAAAATGAGTCAAGAGTTATTGAAGGCCATAAAAATTGATGTTTAAGGGGTAAAAATTTACTTATCAGGTACAATAAATACTATTCTGGTGGTGGGCACACTAAAAGCCCTGACTTAAGCATTATACAAGGTATCCGTGTAATAAAAACATTTGTACCCCCTTATTTTGAAATTTTAAAAAAACCGATTTTTTAAAAAACATACCACCTTAAATTATCTTGCAGAATCCCTTTTTGAAATGCATATTTACCCCCTTTTGTAACTATTTTCAATCCACAGAAAGGAACAGAAATTTAATACTATATCCTGAGAAAAGAATCTGCCTTTGTTAGGCACTTTACATTTGTTGACTGCATACCTATATTTACTGCCAGCCAAAAAAGAGTAAGAAAATTATGAGGCCAGCCATGGTGGCTCACCCCTGTATTTCCAGCCCTCTGGGAGACTGAGGCAGAAGGATCCCTTGAGGCCAGGAGTTCAAGACCAGCCTGGGCAACACAGCGAGACCCCCACCTCCACAAAGAAAAAAAATTAGTCAGGTGTGGTGTGCACCTGTAGTCCTAGCTACTCGGGAGGTTGAGGCTGGAGGACCACTTGAGCCCAAGAGTTTGAAGCTGTAGTGAGCTATATATAATGATACCACTGCATTCTAGTTTGGGTGACAGAGCAACACTTTGTCTCTAAAAAAATTAAAAATTTTTAAAAATTAAAAGAAAAAAGAAAACTATGATTGCCATGGGTTCCTCAGGAAACACCTTCCCTGATAAGAATTTCAAAATAAAATAATCCTACTTTTTAAAGTCAAGTAAATAAAACTAACACACTTTAAAATAAGCAAGTCACAACAGTGGTGTACAAATAGCAGCTTTTCAAATTGAAGTCACTGGAAATTATTTTTTATCCCACAAACTAGAGGTGATGACAATAAATTATGATGTAAAAATTCTCCTTATTTAAAGAAAACAGCATTTTTTTTTTTTTTTTTTTGAGACAGAGTCTCATTCTGTTGCCCTGAGTAGACTGCCATGGCATCAGCCTAGCTCACAGCAACCTCGAACTCCTGGGCTCAAGCAATCCTCCTGCCTCAGCCTCCCGAGTAGCTGGGACTACAGGCATACACCACAACGCCCAGTTAATTTTTCTATTTTTAGTACAGACGGAGTCTTGCTCTTGCTCAGGCTGGTCTCAAACTCCTGAGCTCAAACAATCCTCCCTGCTCAGCCTCCCAGAGTGCTAGGATTACAGGTGTGAGCCACATGCCCAGCCCAGCAGAAATGTACAATTTGTACTTTTTCAGAAGTTTGGAATTTGATTGTTCTTTATTTCAGTTTTTTTAATGTTTTAGACAGGTCCAAAAACTTTATTACATAGACTTGTTGTACTTGAGAAACCGAGATCTTAATAAATATGGCAAATAAGCCACTGTGAAAATTAAAACTTTGTCTTGGCATAGAAAAAAATCTGGAAGTATACATACACCAAACTCTTACCAGTTTGGTGTATGTATACTGTTACCAGTTTGGTGTATGTATACTGTTACTATTTTTCTTGAGGAGTAGGATCTGAGTAAGGACATACAGGACATGAAGGGAAGACTTTATTTTATAAATTTCTTTATTTTTTTTATTTTTTTGAGACAGGGTCTCACTTTGTCACTCAGGCTGGAGTACAGTGGCATCATCATAGCTCACTGCAACCTCAAACTCCTGGGCTTAAGCAATACTCCTGCATCAGCCTCCTGAGTATGTATATGTAGCTGGGATTACAGGTGTGAGCCACTGTGCCTGGCCCTGATTTTTAAAAATGAACAGGTCTTACATTTATTACTAAAAACTAATAAAAGTTATTTTAAAAATTTAACCTTGAGTATAAGAACTCACAAATTACAAAAGCAAATGCATCTAAAACATTTCCCAAAACAGAGAAAGAAACACATTATACCCTACTTGTCAACAAGAAGACAAAAAGCCGTGTAGTAATGCTTTAGTTTAAAAACACCCAACAGGGGCTGGGTGTGGTGGCTCATTCCTGTAATCCCACACTTTGGGAGGCCAAGGCAGGAGGACTGCTTGAGTCCAGGAGTTTGAGACCTGCCTGGGCAACATTGTGAGACCCTCAACTCTACAAAAAAAGGAAAAAAAATTAGCCAGGCATAGTAGCATGCGCCTGTAGTCCCAGCTACTCAGGAGGCTGAAGCAGGATTGCTTGAGCCCAAGAGTTTGAGGCTATAGTGAGCTAAGATCACATCACTGCGCTCGAGCCTGGGCAACAGAGTAAGACCCTGTCTCAAAATAAATTAAATTAATTCATTAAATGTTTAAAGATCCAACATTCACATATCTCTTTCTCTCTCTGTCTCTATATATACATATACACACACACACAAGGAGTTGCAGGAGTTACATACAGAGCCACAAAGTAATGCACATATACAACATTCTTAGATGTCATAACATTGACTTGTAAGAACCCAGAGAATTCTTGACACATTAGTAATTATATGTCTACTTTCCCTAGCCCCCCAACCCATCCAATGATTCCTAAATTGTTTCCCAAACCTTACAAGTTATTAGGAAGAGATGTGAGATTTGACTTCAACCCATATGTGATAGATTTAGAAGCTAGTTAAATGTTTCCTATACTCTGAGAGGGGAGAGGGATTGGAGAGCTAAGAAAACAGAAGATTTTAGATAGCTTCCAATACATGAAACCCCTAATAGGGAAAAGTTAATTTAGGGAATTCATTTTACTTTATTTTAATGGGTTCTGGGTAACCTAAGAGACTTACAAGGGAAAAAAAAAATCAGGAAGAAAACTTTTATACAGTACTATATAAGGTTTGAAGAGAATAAACAGATGAAATATTTCCCTTTCAAATATATATAAATACATATATAATATATATTTGATTTTTCATGTATATGTATAATATATATTTGATAAAGTGCTATCAGTATATACAAACACATATTGATAACCAATAAATATGTATGAACCTGTATTTCTTTTTTTAAGTAAATTCTATTGTGTATAGCTAAGCTATACAACATGTTATAGGATACATATAGATAGTAAAAAGGTTACTCTAGTGAAGCAAATTAACACTTCTATCATCTCACATACTTACCTTTTTGTGTGTGTGGCAAGAGAAGATCTACTCATTTAGCACGAGTCCCACATATAGTACGATGCTATTACCTATGGTCCTCATGTTGTACATTGGATCTAAAGACTTGTTCATCTTATGTATCTGCTGCTTGTACCCTCTGACCTACATCTCCCCATTTCCTCTTCCCTCTACCCATATTTCTTAAGGTTATAAACAGAATAAATACCACAAACTAACACTCATAACCCAACATTAAGTGTTTGGGGTCTAAATATTTACCCACTCCCTTGATCAGACACTATTGTGTTTAAATCTACCTATAACAGTCTCTTCAGGTACAAGAGAAAGCAGCAGGAATCTTTCCCCACCCTCCAATATTCCATTAGATGAGCAAAAGATCCCTAAATGTCTATGACATGTTTTTTTCTTCAAACAGCTACAACACCCAGAGAAGGTAAGGGGTCTTCCTGCTACAGCATGAAGTTCCTCCTAATCAGCACTATGTGCTCTGAAATGCCAAAAACCACCAAAGATATTCCCTGGCAAATGTGGGGAAGATTGTCCATCTCTCCCCAGACTGCCCATGTGCTCAAGCATAGCACAACTCTCTGGCAGCCACGGGTTAATCATAAAGACTCCAAGGATCCCTGCTGAGCCTGGCTATCTGCAGAGTTCCAAGTATCAGCTAGATAGCAAGACCCAAAGAATCACAGAGCTTTCTGCCTTAATCCCAAAGCACACTGTCTCTCAAGACTCCTTCTCTACAGGCTGGGTGGGGTAGGGTCTGTAGTCTAGAAGAGTACACCCAATTCTTGATGAGCTGTTGTGATTTTAGTGACTATCTGTGATTTCAGTTATCTAATAATGCCAGTGGTATGGGGAGGAAGGAAGGTAGAGTAGGGGAGAATGGAAATAGTTAATCAAAAGATAAAACAACCTTGGAGGGGTGGACTTGGGGCTAGGATCTGAGATGACATATTATCCCTGTGGAGATTGGTACATCAGCATGAAGTCAAACTAACTTCATTTCATAAGGACACAAACTTTCAAGTTTGGTTTGCTTTTAATTCCCCCACCTTCTCAGGCCTCACAGAGACTGTAAATTCCTTGAACTCCAGAACCAGGTGAGAAAAGATGCAGAAAGAAGTAGTGGAAAAGAGAGGCGCTGAGAGGAGAGAGGAATCCCGTTCCCCTCTTAAAGAAGAATGTTAAAACCAAGGGCACTCCCAGATCCCCAGAAAAGGAAGTTGCTAGATACAAAAAAAACCCCCGCTTTTCCCTACCTTCTTGTTGTTCCTGTTATAGCCAAAAGTCGAAATCCCAGGCCTGGAAGTCACTGATAGCAGCATTTTCTCTTTAATGTTAGGCAGCTGAGAGAGAAGAGGGAGAGGGAAAGGGAGGAGGTGAGAAAAGGGGGAGGGAGGAGGGAAGAGAAGGAGCAAGGGAGGGAGGGAGGAAAAAGGGAGGAGAAAGGGGGGAGAACAGGAGCAGGAGAGAAAGATATGAGGGGGGGCTGTGGGTAGAGAATGAGCTGGGGCAGCTCCTCTACGTCACAGAGAGAAGTTAACGCAGTCTGAATGAGGCACTTCCACTGGGTCCTAATGCCCAAGATGTTATTTTTCGTTTGTTTTTCATAGTCTCAACAGTTAAAGCTAGAAAAGAAGAGTTCTTAAGTCTAACCTCTTTCAAATTCATCCCTTTTCCTCTAGGAACAGATTCTCACAGAAAGACAATGAGGGTTTTTTTCCCCCTTAGATCTCAGCTATAAGAAGATTTCAAGCTGGATTTTAAAGGAGCCACTGAGACACTGCCTTGGAGAACATGCAAAGAAAACCATACTGAAATAGTGTGTGAGATGAGCACAGGGCTTCCCCTGCTTTACATTTACAGTGATCTTAATGCTCAAAGAAAGAACAAACGGAGAACACCAAAAAGCAAAACAGAGTATGGGAAATAACTAGTTTCAGATCCTTAGATAGTTCTGTTTCTCTTGGGTCACACTGATGGGCTGGTGCCCCTCACTCCTATTTCAGATGCTCTGAGGAATTAATTCATACTTAAGGAATTATCAACTGGATTAAATCATGAAACTCGGTGCCTAGTTGTTTCTTTAACAACTGGAAGCTACCATATTTGACTCTTTTTCCCACTATTTCCTCGTCTTTAAGATCCATGAAGCTGAAACTATTAGAGTAACTCACTCACCAGACCTGGAATTTATTTCCGGATTGAAGTTCAGAGTTGGAATGTTTGCTTCAAGTTGTCTCTGAGCTGTTAAAAATAAATAAATAAATAAATATTTTAAATGCATATACTTCAAAGAGAAGAAAAATACAAAATTCTTAGGAAAGAAGAACATAAGAGTCAAGAACCTAACGCAATTGCAATAATACTTCTAAGTTTCGAAGGAATATCCTTGTAGGAGGAACAAGAAAAGAAACTTACAGGAAACTCAAAATTTAAGAATGATACTCAGTAACCCCTAACAATCCAAGTGGAATAGAGATGTAGAATGAAAGCCTTCAAATCCCTTCATAAAGCCACTTTGCTGCCATCATAAGTATTCTCCTGAGACATAAATTAACCCTGTCTGCTTTGTCACAACAAACATTAAGCCCAAACCTTCCCTGAAATAAAGTCCTGGTATGTATCTATTCTAGTATTCCTGTCACTTTTTTTGCTGATAATAGAACAGACAGTATTAACATTCTGCAGAGTAAATACACATACCTCACCCCCAATCTCTAACTTTGATTTCCAGTAGGACAGGAAGTGCCTGCTCAGCTCAAGAGACAAAGGAAGGGTGGGAACAGCCTTAATGTGGGAATTGCAACTGAGACTGGAAACACAGCAGACAAATGCAGTAAATAAATAAATAAATGCATCTCTCAGTGATACCATATTTTTTTAAAAAGTCCCTTTTCTGCCCACAGAGACATTCATTTTACAGCAATTTATCCTCACTGTGTAGGCACTTGAATGATATCTTCTCCCTTATCCTAACAACATGGTACAGAAACCTTCCTCTTGAAGGCCTGATGCATACAGGCAATCAAACCAATTTAATTTTTTAATTCTCATTTTTTTTGGAAGCTGAGTAATTTTTTTTTGTAGAGACAAGATCTTGCTACATTGTCCAGGCTGGTCTCAAACTCTTGGCCTCAAGTGAACCTGCCACCTTGGCCTCTCAAAGTGCTGGGATTACAGGGACGAGTCACCGTGCCTGGCCATATATTTTTTTTTAATAATAGTCTTCCTGATGGGCGTAAAGTGGTATTTCATTGTGGTTTTTTGTGTTATTGTTAAGTTGACAATTTATAATTATGTAAATTTATAGGATACAAAGCAATGTTATGATTTATAAATACAATGGGGAATAATTAAATAATTATTTAATTAAATAATTAAAAGCTGATTAATACATTTATCATCTCAAATACTTGCCATTTTGGGGGGTGAGAACATGTGAAATTTACCCTCTTAGCAATTTTGAAATGTACAATATGCTAGTACTAAATATATTTACCACACTGTACAACACATCTCAAAACATAATCTTATTCCTCCTGAGATTTTATACACTTTGACCATCATCTCCCCACTTCCCCTACCTCCCAGTCTCTGTAACCACCTTCTCCTCTCTGTTTCTATGAGTTGATTGTTTCAGATTCCACATATAAGTGAGAGAACATGCAGTATTTGTCTTTCTGTGCCCGGCTTATTTCACTTAGCATAATGTTCTCCAATTCTATCCATGTTA